TTTTTTTACTTCAGCAAGGTTCACGTGATAGTAAGCGTAATGGTCATCATCATGAGAGGTCATCGACTGTATAATAAAACATAGTCATCCATACAAAGATCTTCTCATAATCGATACCTGATCAATAGGAAATTATTCGAAGAAAAAAAATATATGAAACCGTATATATATATATATATATATATGAACCGTACATTATAAGAGGTAAGATTTGAAAAACATTGGATATAATGCTTTCATTTCTCGAATGCCTTGATATTTGATGTGAATTTATATTTTATAATATAGAAAATATTTAATTCTCAATTATGACATATATCATGCATTTTTGCAATGATTCTGAGAATAATCATTAATATTAAAATTCGATATATATAAAGAAAAATAAGACAGCATATACTTAAATTAAATAATAAAAGTTAATATTAATTGTGTCTTAAATGATTATAAAGTTTTATATTGTTTAATTACAATGTTATATTGTTAATTACAATTTTATACACTTATGATAGTAAATTATAATAAATTAATATATAATAAATTAAATATATATAAAAAAATTACAATTCAATTGCAAATTTTATTTTATTAAAAGCATTTTGATCATTTCTTCGAAATATAAATTTTGTTCTCTTTTTGAAATCCTTTGCACATAATTTTATAATATAAGTTATAATGTAAATAATTCCGTTTTAAGAATGTAATATTGATGAAAAAATGTAATGCTTATACTTATATTTTTAATAAATGGACTGATAGAATATTTATACATAATTATATTTTTATGAATACAATTAATTGTACACATCTTGATTTTTAGTATTTTATTTAGAGATATAATATATAAATATATTTTATTTAAATTCTATTTTTTAATTATATATTTCTTAAATAATTTTTTATATTTTTTAAATATTTTAATTGTTTAGAGATATGATTGATATAATAAAAATTATATATGTATATTTATGTGAATTATATTATACATTTTTTCATCTTAAAAAAATTTATTATCTAAAAAAGTTTTACAACGAATAAAATGATCAACAATTATATTGGAATGAAAGAATATAATGAAACTTATTATGTTTCAATGCCAATTAAATAACTTATTCTTTCATTTATTGTTTTTGCTCTTCACTTCATTATTTATTGTTGTAATATAAAAGAATTTTTTTTCAATCGTTTTTTCATTAAATTTATATAATTATATATAAATTTATATATTTATATATAGAGATTAATAAAATATTAATTTTAATAAATGATAATTTTAATAATTTGATTTTAGATTTAAAAAATTTTATCATAATAATTTATTATTAATATATTTAAAATTTTATAATAAAGAATTTATAATTTATAATTTATAATTTATAATTTATATACTGAAACTAAGCTTTTATTTATAGAATGATCTATTATAGTTTTGTATTTATTAATTTATTATATTTAGTATTTTTTTTCTATGCGATAAATATATTCAATATTTATATGATAAACAAAGAATGTAAATATAAGATAATTATCATAAATGCAAAATCATATAAAAAATTCTCAAAGCATACTGCTTTGCGTTGTTTCATGAATAAAGAATCAAAATAATTTATAATGAAACATGAAAAATGTGACTATTGCACATTGAATTATTCTTGATTATAACGTTATATAAAATGTGTACGTGTAAATAGTTGTTTAATATGCACATATTTCACACATTGTATGAAAATTTCCGAATCATTTTACGAGTATAATACGTAATTTCAAAAATTCATGAATTAAATTTATACAAAATATTTCTTAATTAATTTTCATTATATGAAAATTTTACTTCCAATTTTATTCCTATATGGAATAAGTTCTTGCGAATTAAAATTTCATTTAATAATACTTTTTAAATAATTCGAAAATTTATTATATATTCTAAATGATGTTTTAAATTTTTTTTTGATCATGTAATCATATATATATATTTTAATATATAGTCATCAAACTAGTCGAGTTAAACTATCATGATGATTTGCAAAAAAATAAATATAATCGTTTACTTTATTCATAATTTATCCAATCAATTATCGTGTCAAAAAATATTTTCTTCTCGATTTTTTTGCAAATTCAAAATATTGAAATTTAGATAAAATCGAGAAATATTATCTATCATAAATTATATACCGGTTAATAATAAATTGATAAATATCACAATATCATTATTCAAATAAAGTTCGAAGAATATTATTAGAAATTGATTTGTAATATTTAAATTGTACCAAATTATAGAAATCAGAGATAAATAATTAATAATAAAAAATAATATTTATTATCTTTTATGCAATAATTTTATAATTAATAATAAAATTTTAAAAATTAATTATAAATTTGATAAAATTACGAATAATTTTTTTTTTAATTTTTATAATTTCATATTAAGTAGAGTGATCAAGTAATATATATAATTTTTAAAATTTGCTTGTAAAACTTTATTTGTTTTATTATTATTATTATTATTATAAATTATGAAAAATTTCATTAATAATATTAATCTAATTGCAAGAAAATTCATCGGTAATTGAAATTATTTAATATAAAATTTCATCAGTATATATATTTTATATGTATTTATATAATATTAATAATATTTAAATAAATCATTAATAATATTTAAAAGAATTTTTTTACTTATTTAATAATTAATAATTAGATAATTTTTAATAAAAAAATAATTTGAAGAAATACAATTTTTCAAACAACAATAAAAATTCTTTTTATTATTATATAATACATTTTTCAAATTTATTTTTTAATATAATGCTTTATTCTATTATACAAGGATATATTAATCTGAAAAATAAAATTATTGCAGATTTTTCAATCACAGATATATTAATCTGAAAGATAAAATCATTACAAATATTTTTGAAATAATGTACTTATTTATAATAAATATTATTATATCATAATATTATTATATCATAAATAATGAATGTATAAAAAATTTGAAGAAAATCTTATGTTTCAGAAGAAGAATATTAGAAGAATATTAACATAATACATATTACGTCATCACGTAATTACATTTGACCAAGTATTATAAAAAAACTGAAAAAAAAAAAGAAAATATAGAACCAATAAAAATGATCTTTTATTAATTATATTGTATATTAAATCTTATTATATTGTATATTAAATCTTTATTTCTCGATTATAATATATTTTAATTAATAAAAAAATGGAAAAATAAAAACAAAATCAAGATTTTAATATGCCAAGATATACTTCGAGTTTGATATTAGACGAATTTTTTAATAAAATATGGATTTTAAATAAAAGAATGTTTGATATAAATTTTATAATAACATTCAAGATTATTTCATCAGAAATATAAAAAATTCTCGCATATGGATATCGTATATCATTTATTATATATAAAATTTTGTAAAAATAATAATCAAGATTTTTATAATCTTTTAGATAAATGAACTTCAATCAAATTAATTTCAAATTTTTTTATTAATTAGATTAAATTTAAATTAAAAATTAAATAATATTAAATGAATAAGCACGGCAATATTTTTTAAATGGATGATTCAATGATTCAAAAACAGTTCTTATTAATGTTCTTCCTATGATTCATGATCTATTATTAAGAAATTTAAAAAATTTTAATTTAAATAGCAATTTGCGCTCGATAAAAAAGTAAATCTCTTAATGAAAATTTATTAAATGTTTTACAAAAATTATTTTCAAATATATATATATTTTTTTTATTATTTATTAAAATGTAATAAATAATTATTAAAATGTAAAAATAATGATTTTTAATTAAAATTAAAATTACATCAAAAAAAATTAAAATTACTTAGAAATATTAATAAATATTACATATTGATTTTAACATAAGATGAAATCTTAGTTTGTTATATAAATAATATAAAATAGTATAATATAATATAATATATAATTAATTATATTTTATATATATATAATATAAAATAAAATAATATAAAAAATTTTATTATTTATTATCTTTTGCTTTCAATTATTAAATAAAATAATCAAATATTTATTTTATCATCGAATTAAAACCATTATATTTATTAAAATTAAAATTCCATAAAATACATTTACTAAAATATAATACATCAAAAACAGAAGTTTTAACCTAATTTTTTAGCACTTCAATTTTAATGAATTCTAACAAAACTATAGAACTTTTTATAGAACTTTGACTTAAATAGTTTTTCATTATTCAAATTGTCTTAATTCAATAATCAATAACTTTAAAATTTATTTTCAATGTTTATTTCAAACAATATAATCTTTATTTTATTGAAATTATTCTTTTCTTTTTTGTTTATTATTTTCACTTTAAACAAAAATCATCTTGACAAAACACAAAATCTTTAATATCTAATATTTTTACAAAGAAACGCAAATGAATTTATTATAAAATTAATATATACTTTAAATGTCACAAATATTAGTAAACAAATTGAATATAAAAATTTTCAACGACCGTGCAATATTCAATAAAAATTATTATTATCAATATAATTAATCAATCTCTCATTCAATTGTAAACAAAAATTAATTACTTTAATAATAATGATATAACAAAAATTAATCACTTTAATAATAATGGTATAACAAAAATTAATCATTTCATTGATAATGGTATAACTGATGATATAACTTCAATAATAGCATCAAACTTATATAGCACATAACTTTATGATATAACTTCAATAATAGTACATAATAATAGTACTTTCTGAACTACTGCTTGATTCTTCAAATAAAAAGAATTTAAGAACGCAAACGGCATGTATTCTCACGATCCTCGGACAATCGAGAACTATCTACATACAGTAGATAAGCAAAGAGCGTCAATTATGAGCAGATAGGTTGGTGGGATCGTTGTCTATCCTATGTTGCACACGTTACCTGGTACAGGTTATGTGCTGATATATAAAACTCGGTTTTCATTGCGGAACTTCAGTTTCTACGAAGGTAGCTAAACACGAACGTGCTCTCTTTGACACGAAGAATCAAATCGATTTGTCGATAGTTATAAACCATTTTCAAATTTGTTTCAACTATAATTTGTGTATAAGAAGCGATCAATATTTTACGATTTTCCGCTATCATTTATTTAGGAAGCAAGTTAAATAGATCACAGTGAGTATATATAAAAATTCGGTTATGTATAAAAATCGTTGCATCAAGTTTAATTTGGAAAGATCAAAGAATTTTTTTTGTGTTCGATTAATGTTAAATAAAAAGTTTAAAAATTTATAAATATAATTGTATATTTTGATGCGAGCGTTAAATGTTGTTGATTTATGAACAAATATATATGAGTATCAAGTATAATCACATCATAAAATAAATAAAATCATAAAATAAATGATTTAAAAAGAAAGTGCATTATTACTTATATAATATATGATATTTTATAAATTCAGTGCTAAATATATTTCGAACAGAAAAGTATTGAAAATAATTTTTGAAACAATTTCGTCAAAATGAAATATTTTAAAGTTTTTTTTATAATTAATTTGGTAATAGATATATAAAAAAATACTTATTTATATATACTAAATGCAATTATTAATTAAAATAATAATTTTTTATTGTATATTAAAAATAATTATTTAATATAATATTTTAAACTCTAAAATTCTACTATGAATATTTAAAGTAATATTTTACTTAATATAATATAAAAAAAAATTATTATTTTAAATTAAAAATATTTTTATTTTTCAAGATTGTATAATTATAAAATTTCATATACGAAATTGCTTATTTTTGTACAGAATTGTTTACACAAAAAATAAAGAAATCTTGTCAAATTTAGATAAGCTTTGTGATTATTGGAAATCTAAAATGATCTGAAATAAATTTAGATGAAATGTAAATATTTCAAATAATAATTTATAAATATTTCAGAATAGAATATTTTAAAAATAGATCATTTCTCAAAGAACTTTAAAAAAATAGTCTCAAAATAAAACGTAATAATCTTTTAAAATTTCTCGAAACGTCCAGATCTAATCTAAATTATTTATTTTGCGAAATCTAAAATTTAATAAAACATAAATCTTCACACAATACGATCTATTTAAGACATCTGTAAAATTCTAATTACGTTTAATTACCGCTAAATGTCAAAATTATTTTAATTAAAAAGTTTACCGTGCAATCTCAAATTACTCTAATTGTAAACTCTCCTGCGTTAAATAAATATTCTTGGTTTACCATTCGTTATAATGACTGATAAATTATTTAACTAAAATTAAAAATTAAAAATTTATGTTTTTTTTTTCTTAAAATATTAATCTTATTTTGATAATGGCGAATAGAGTTTAATAATCGAAAATAATCATTGAAAATATAATTTATTAAATAAATTTAAAATAAATTCGAATATATAATATACATTTACGATACAAAAATATATTTAAGTATATAGAAGTTTATTTTTATTATATTAATAATTATTATATACTATATTATATAATAGATTTATTATAGATTTATTGAAATTAATTATATTAGCAAAACAGCAGATTTAATTTTAATATTATAATTTTTCTCTGAATTATTATTTTGTCTTCAAATTTTTTACATATTATTTTTATGTTTTTTATATTTTTATTATAAATATTTAATATTTTAGATTGGCATTAAATTTTTCTTTGGACTAATCTTTCCTAACCTTTTCAAACATTTTTATCATATTCACAAAGTGTATTATATTGTAATAATAATATATAATATATTTATATTATAATAAATATTTTATAATTTTTAAATAGATATATTTTTTTAATTTCTTTCAAACATTATTTATACAATCTACTGCGTTTATTTATTAATTATATCTGAAAAAGTTTTACATAATATTATATGTATTCAAACAATTCTTTTTTCCATGAAGAATATTTAAATAATTTTCTTAATCACTATTTAAAATATATTTCCGTTTGCATTTTATTTAATACTCGTGTAAGATTTTATAATTATTTCTGTTTAACATCTCATTTTTCTTAAAATATCGGATGCAAGAAAAACACAGATATATTTTTTTAAAAACGATTCGATTGTACTTGAGTGAAAATGCACAAAAGCTTAATATTATATCGTAAATTTTTAATTCAGAAGATTCAGAAATCAAATCGATGCAAATAAAATTTTCTAAGAATAAAAATGAATTTTTTTCTTAGAGACCCACGTAAATCATCATTTCAAGAAAAAAAATTTTTAATTCAGAAGATTCAGAAATCAAATCGATGCAAATAAAATTTTCTAAGAATAAAAATGAATTTTGTTCTTAGAGAATCACGTAAATCATCATTTCAAGAAAAAAAATTTTCAACCGATTAAATCATACTATATCTTTATTATTATCTTTATTTTACAATTATATATATGTCTATCAAAATTTTAATTACAATCAGCGTAAGTAAATAAATTAAGTCATCTTTTTCATATCTATAATATTTAAAATATAATACATACTTTTATATTTATTTTAGCATTGAACTTAATTTTTAGAAACTTGAATTATTTCGTTTCCAATTCTTGTTGACTGCTCTTGCACGACATTTATATTTTCACGACAAATTTTTAAAAATTTCATCTCGTTTCTAACATTTGATTAGCTTTTTAATCTTTTTAAACGCAACACCATCGCTATTGTCTCGCAACACAAAGGCGTTGGTCGCTTTCTTTGCTTAAAAAGATAAAGACACGAGGATGCACCTGACTGGACAGCAAATAGTGCTTAATGAGCGTGGAATTGCCAGGAGAGCAGTGATTTCAATTGCATTACGCGAACGCGACTGGATAAACTTATATATATATATCTCATTTTACATTGCAAATATATAATCAATTCGCGCGAAATGTCTTCTCCATTTATCGAGATCTTGATTGATTTAGTGCGTGGAAAATGCGTTTCTTGGAAATAATGTGATAAAAATGTGAAACCAAAGACGGATAATGAATAATTCTGTAAAAAAATGTTATAATCGAGCATATACTCATTATTTATTGAGCAAGGTCGTTCTTTTTTCGTTCTTTTTCTTTTGTTCCTCGTCAAACTTTGTATTTCTCTTGCTGAATATGGCAACATTAATCTTTGCTGTCTTCCACAATTAAAATATTTATTCAGCATACATTTAGTTTTCAGTGTATATATTGAAGAATTGAAATATTAAACATATTTAAATAAAAAATATTGAATAAAATATAATTGTAGAAAAAATGTAGAGAAAATTCTATTTTAATTATATTAAGTTAGAAAACTTTATTTGATTTTATATGACATTTATTATATGACAGAATCAGGATTAATTTATTTTAAATAACAAAGTCGTTTCAATGAAAATAAAAAAAAATTTAGTTTCTCACAAATATTTTAAAATGCTAATATAACATTTTAATCCGTATCTTTTTTACTCAAGACATAATATAAAATTTGTTATATTTCTGTTAATAGATTTTCAAATTGATATTATTTGAAATATTTATATTCAATATCTGAAATCCTAATTATCAGAAATTTTAAGTAATTTTGACATAAAGGCAAATAATGTAATGAATATAAAAGCATTATTTTTTTAAAAATAGCTAGAAAAAGACAAAAGAAAAAGTGAGAATTCAAATTTTTATAAAATGTTATACGTATTCTTATATCTTCTTAGTAACTTTGAAATATATATAGTAAAAGTTGAACAATTGATCTAACTTGTCCATTAGTTATTTTTAGTGGGATTTATAATGTTTTGAATCTCTTTGAATCTGATTCAAAACATAATAATTGTTTAAAATCTTGAAAATCTCGATTTTGATGATAAAAATCTTCACTATTGATTAATGATAAATTAACACTTAATACATGTACTGAACATATATGCACAATACATGCACTTTCTTTCTAATTTAATTTTCTTTCGAAATTTCGAATATTTATCTGACCATAGATCTATCAAAATATTCTGAAATCTGATCAATTCTTACATTTGATCAATTTTAAGATTTTTCTGTATTATGATCCGCATAACTGCAAAAGATTCATCCCCACTACTAAAAGAAAACATTATTACAATGAAAACAATGCAAATGTAATTCGATTCAAGATCAAGAAATAAAAACAAACAATATTATTTGTATTATACTTTCAAGATTATAATTAGATTATAATTATTAATAATTTTTTTATCAAAATTATTGTTTTTCATCTTATTTTTAATTAAAAAAAAATTCCATAAATACAAAAAATATTTTATTAAAGAACAAAAGTAAAAAAAACAAAATATTAACTGTTGCGTTAGAATTGTCTCATCGACCTTGATTCTCGACTTCTTTTTCTTTCATTTAATTTTTTTTCGCTCTTCTTTATACATTTTTTTTTTCTCGGCAAAAAAAAACGTAAACATACTTTAAACTCCAATCAAATTATATCAGTAAGTAAAGATCGATATATACTTCATTGGATAATTAAAATATTTACTACACATGTACTATTCTATAATCATATGTGCATTAAAATTAGTTATTTTTGCGATGTTACGATGTTATGATTTTAAATTCAACTGATTTTATGTTTCTTTGTACATTGGTATGCATATATATGCACATATACATTGTTACATCGGTATCTACCAATGCATATATGCATAAATGCATGTTGGTTAAAAGACAAGATGTTTTAAACAAAAAAAAAAATGTGGAAAAATAAACAAAGAGTAGCTAATGAAATGTCGATGAAGAATAAATGATAAGAATCAGTCTATAAGTTTCTTCGAATGTTTTTTTTTTTTGTTCCTCTTTTCTTGAACTTTAAACTCAATTTTAGATTTCGCTTGACATATTTTTTTTCACGATTATCATCTTGTTATCATACTACCATTAAAAAAAAATTGTTTCTTGTTAACTATAGCACTTTGTGTATTAATGCAATAACAAAACAATAAAGTAGTAATGCATATATATTTATATCATTTTACTCGATGATTCATATTATTATCGTACCAGAGAAAATTCATATATATTTTAAATGTAAATAAAAGTAAAATAAAATAATGGAATAAAATATATTATAGTAATAAAGTATATTATAATAATATAATACAATAAATATAGTGTTACGATAGTAATATTTGTTTTAATATTTTTCTAATTTATATTCATTTTTTCTCTTTCATTCCAGATTTAATCTTAGTTACGAACATTAAAGAGAATTTTAATGTAATAATATAATATAACGTAATACGTATACGATAATGTTATAATATATAAAGTATATTATAATTATGAAATATTTAAAAATATAAAAATATGTAAAATGTGTATAATGTAGAGAGATATATAAAACAATATATATTCATTGTGTTATTTAATAGATGATAATTAATAGATGAAATCTGTGGTTTATATTTTTTTCTATTTTATTGTTTACAAAAATATAATTTTATATTTATAAAACATCTGCAATTTAATAATAAAATAATTAAGATTTTTATGATATCAATATAAATGTTTATTTCAAAATTCAATTTCATTATAAAATAGTTTTATCATTTTAATACAAAGTTAAAGATAAAAAATGATATATTCTTAATAAAAAAATTTGTGCCTTTGTACTTTTATTATATAATAATTATTATATAATATTGTATATTTAAAATTTTTATTTGTATATGATTATACAAAATTGAATTCAACATTATTCATTATTAATTGAACTAAAACGAATACGTAATGCATATTTATAATTGGAAATCATGTATGGTAATATGATACAAATGCGTATAATTTTTAAATAATCTACATTGTACTTACCATTTAGTTTCATTCATGAATTATTTTTATAATATTTACTTCAACTAAGAACAATAGAATACGCTCATAATTTTAAATATAATATATATTAATTAATTAAATAAATATAATATATATATATGTATATCTAATTTTAAATCTTGATAATTATTAATATAATTTACATCTATTATCTCTACAGATTCTTATAAATGATTTTTTGTTTTCCCGGTTATTAATAAATGCCTAAGCCTGTTTTAAATATATCTAAGCCGTGCCCATATGCATAATTTTATTTATTTGCATAATATACAGTGTGCACAATATTTGAAGGATTGATTTTAAAGATTAAAAGAAATACAAAAATTAATGTACAAAAAGCTATTGAGATTTATTTATTATTTATTAAATTATTTATTATTTATTATTTATTAAATTATAAGCAATTTAAATTCGCATTAGATAAATAACAAAAAATAGCAAAATAGAAACAAAATAAGTGAATGTGATGTGAAAAAAATGAAACCATCTTACTTTATTTTGTTTCTACTATCTTAATTATCAAGAAGGTTATCGTTAAAAATTTCTAAACAAATTTTTATTACATCTTGCATTATATCTTTAAAAATTTTAAACTTTACATATATATATTATATATACTATAACAAAATACGAACACTTTTTTCTATCTCGTTCATAAAAGATTTTTTTCTCTCGTTTTATACGAGTCAATGAACCAAAAATTGAGAAAAAGTTGCCAATAATTCTCAGAACAATTACATTTGTCTCAATCTTGCGATATTTAACTGAGCATTACTGTAATAATAATAACAATAACAATTAAAACGTAATATTATTATAAAAAAACATAATGGGACCACCAATCTTTAATAAAAAGATTGAAAAACACTGATCTAAAATTTCAAAAATAATAATAATAACATTTGAATCGATATTACAAATAAATATGATCGATCACGTGGTAAAAAGATTAAAAAACACTGATCTAAAAATTTAATCGATTAAAATTAAATGAAATGGAGCAAATACAATAAAAATAATAATAATAAATTTGAGGTAATTTGAATTTTTTTTGCAAGAAAAATGCGTTTCCTCCATCGGTATTGCAGTTAGTGAGATCACGTTTCCTTCCAATTACAATAGTTGCAGATCGTATTGCAAAATCGATGGTCGAATAAGCGTGTCGCTTTTTCGGTTCTTGGGGAAACTCGCCGGTTGCTTGTAATTTGTTAAATTTCGCAAGAAACTACATTAAAAGTCGATTCTCTCTTGCAAAATTTTTAAACGAAAAAAGATAAAAGATAAAAGATAAAAGATATTACCTTTAAAATGACATTATTTGAAGCAACATATTATTCATATTCATATTATCTCATAGTTATTTAAAATAATAATATGAAAAATATTATTCAAATATCATTTCATAAGTAGAAACAAAAACAATATTAAAAGTTTAAAAAATGTAAATGAAGTATTAAATTATTTTCTTAAAATTATAAGAACAAATTAAATATATAAAAAATTTGAAAAATTAAATATATTAGATTGGTGTGTATTAAATTTTTCAGAATTTGAAGTTAATAGAGTAATAATATTTATAAAGTATAAATATAAATAATATAATATAAATTTAACTAATATTATACACTTTTGTCATATATAAAAATTCTGAGATTGTAATATTTTTGGAATATTATCAAATTAAATTTTTATTCAAATAAATATTCAAACGAAATTTTTATTTTACTTGTTATTTTATTTTTTTTGTTATTTTATTATATATTTATTATTTTATTTTATACATTATTACGTGAATAATAATTATTAATATTAATTGAATAATAATTTATATTAATAATAATTTATATAATTATGTATATTTTTAATTACAGTTTAACGTAAAATATAAAAAATTGACTTATATCTATTTATATTTATTGTTTTCTAAAAAAACAATAAATAAATATTTGATTTATATTATACATTGATGTAGATAATAAATTACATGATTTATAAAATATATATTATATGAGATACTTTTAAATTGTATTTATTTATGAAAAATTTCTTTTTTTAATGTTTGTTTCAATTTATTTATCCCAAATTATGATATCCACTTTTTCTATATATAAAAAAATTTATTATCATTTATTCTTTATTTATTATTCAAGATAATCAATAATTTAAGTAACCATATTAAAATATTCTTATTTTTCGAATAAGATTTTAATCAAATTCATATTTATTCACATATATTTTTCAATTTCAAATAAATATATTTCACTTTTATTTTTTATTTCAAACAAAAGATATCCAATTTTGCATCGCAGATTTTCTAACATATAATAATAAAAATAATAATAATAATTATGATATAATCTATAATAAATTATCTATAACATTTTTATCACTTGATCACTTATTCCTCAACAACATATAATTTTTATTATAAAACAATTTTTTTCCAAATGTAACAAATATACTATGCTACGTAGAGCACTCACCATAACAAAATAATTCACTTATTATCGAAAGATATTATATATTTAAACATTACATATATAAATGCAGAAATTTTTTATCTTTAGAGAAATATAAGAGATGTTCATAAGAGATGTTCGTGTTACCACTTTTGCAGTCGTAATACGTTCAAAAATTTCAGTGAAAGGATTGACTGGATTTTAACTTTTCGTGACGACGTTGATCTATAGATCTTCAAACCGTTGTCCGCGTTGGACGAGCTGTGGATACGCGCGAACAACTTTATTTTTTAAAATATAGATAATATCTGGAAAAGTAATAAGGTAACGTGTAAAATAATGTGTATCTCATTAATACAACATTAATTACAAATCATGTGAATTTTATCTTTAAGTGATTAATTGAATAGTGTGATTGATTGATGATATATCAGATAATCAAGAAAGTTTTATCATTTTTTTTTTGATAGAAGAGAAAAAGAGAAATATATAAAAAAAATTTATTAAATACTTAAATTAAATAACATTGCATAATTGAACACATAAGTAATTGAAATTTAATGATTTAGTGATAATTCGTATTTTTAATATCATTATTTATTAATAGCTTGTAATAGGAAGTTTGTAATAGAAAAAGATAAAGTTGCAAGATTGTATAAATGATACGTAAGTGTAAAATGTTAAGATAACTATTTTTGTCTACTAAGGAAAAGATTATAGATATATTAATTTTATAAATATAACTTTGAGAAGTGAAATACTTCCTATTTTTAATTTTGGAAATAATATTCAATAAAAAATTTTTAAATGTAATTCCTTATACGTTCCAATTTAAATCTCAATCATCATTTGCAACTGTTGGTAAAGCAGTATTTTATAAATGTTTATTTTATTATATTTTATATATTATATAAAATATATTTAAAATAATATATATATATATATAAAATAATATATATATGTATAAAATAATATATTTTTATTATATTATATACAAGAAATATGACAAAACTTTCTTAATTCGCAAGGTTATTATATCTAATAATTCAATATCTTTTGTATGAATAACTTTGTGATCAATAAAATTATTAATGTTTTTTTACTAATGTCGATTGATTGTATGATAAATATTATTACTAACAATTGATAAAAATAAATCAAATCAATAAATTTAGTAAAATAAATAATATAAAATAATAATAAAATAAATTCAATAAAATTTGCAAATAATAAAATTGTAAATTTGTAAAATTTATTTTGATTTACAGATGGCGCAATTTGTAATGGCAGTATATGATGAATACCGCAATCTGATGGACAATAAGAGCGATCCTAGAGTCAACAACTGGTTCATGATGAGTAGTCCATTCCCAACCTTATTTATTTGCTTATTTTATGCCTACTTCGTCAAAGTTTTGGGCCCTAAACTCATGGAAAATCGTAAATCTTTCGATCTTAGAAAAATTTTGCTATTTTATAATTTCTTTCAAGTGATATTCTCCGCATGGCTGTTTTATGAGGTATGAAAATTCATTAAAAAAATCTTTAAATATATAATAAACATTGAACAAACAAAAATTTTATATGCAAAGATCAAAAAAAGAAAAATTTATAAATGTTATCTTGCAAATATTTAAAATAAAACTAACAAAAGCAAAACAGTATTGTAATTCGTTAAAGACAAGTTCGTTGTGACATAACCGTTTTATTTCACTTTGCATATTTCGTGTCTTGAATTTTACTTTATTTCATTTGCATTATTTTATTCTGTATATTTCATTTTATTTAAATTTTTTTTCTTTTGTATCATTTTTTCAATCTTTACATTATCTTCTTTGTGACTTTTATTGTATCAAAAGATTTTTAATATTAAATAAATAAATATTAGTTATTATTATTATTATTTCGAATTGTTAATAAGTTTGAGCATAATAAAAATTTGATTTTTAGATATAAATTTCGATTTATAAAAATCAAATCATTCAAGTTTTAAATGTAAAATAATTGTAAAAATAATAATTTGTGTTAAAATAAATTTATATTTTGATTTCTGAAAGTCTTTATGAATTTTTTGAAAAAAATCTTTTGTAAATATTATAAAAGTGACTAATTAATAATATATGTTTATATGTTTATATAATATATGTTTATATAATATATAATATAATATATGTTTATATGTTTATATGACAAAGACAATTATTTTAGAAAAAAAAATAGACAAAAAATGTAGAGATAATAAAAGAAATATAATGGAAAATTTTAATAAATCAAAAATTTGATTTTAATGATATCCATCTAATAATAAATTTTATTGTTTATTCAATAATTATTTTATTATCCATCAAGTTTTCATACTAATAAGTTTAACACGTGATAGTTTTTTTTGATAGTTTTACTTGAACTTTTTTGTTACTTTCATATCTTTGAAATATATATCTAAATATTTTTAATTTATTATTATTATTATTATTATTATTATTATTATTATTATTATATATAATAAATAATATATATATATAATAAGATTTTAAAATCCTATCTATTCTTGAAAATAGAAGTTCGAAATGGTTTTCAAATATGCCAAATAAAATAAACAAAATTTGATACTGATTTTTTATCTCACTCTCTCTTTTTCACTCAATTTGAATTCATAAAAGTCATCTAAATTAAATGTTTAGATTTGTGCTGTAATTATTTTTCGAAAAGAAAATTATACGAGTTTAATATTTGCCATTATTATAAAAATAATTTGAATAATAATACACGATTAAAAATGAGAAAAAATTATTTGATATTAAATTGATATAAATTTTAATTGATTAAATTTATTTGATATAAAAATTTTATACATAATACATGTTGTTCGCAGAGCTTGGTATCAGGATGGGGAGGTCAATATTCCTTCCGTTGTCAACCGGTAGATTATTCAAATAATCCATTGGCACTTCGAATGGCACGAGGTTGTTGGTGGTATTATTTCTCAAAATTTATCGAATTTTTGGATACGATATTCTTTGTGTTAAGAAAAAAGAACAATCAGATCACAATTTTACACGTAATTCATCATGGATGCATGCCGATGTCTGTTTGGTTTGGCGTTAAATTCAGTCCTGGTAAGTATTTATCAATTTGATTTTTTCTATCTAATTTTTGATTTATTTGCATTTGAAATAGATTTGAATAGATTTACGTAAATGGATCAATATTGGGCATTTTTTATTTGATTTAATTGAAATAAAATATATATAAAAAAAGAGAAAGAAAATTACTTTATTTTAAATGAAAAATAAATTTATTTTAAATAAGAAATAATAAATGAAATAAATTTTTAATTATTTATATTTGAAATTTTTATTATTTTAATTTTGTAATATATATTTTTACATATTATTTTATCTTAAATAATTAATAATAACACTACTTGTTTTTTAAATATCCTTTAATTTGCAAAAGATTAATTTGAAAATTATATATAGAATCATATGATATTCCTCTTTACACCTCAAACAACTTTTATTTAAACATTTTTTTTTTTTTTTAATAAGTTCAGCCTCTCGCAAGACATTTCAATTTTGCAATATTATGAAAATATTCTATACAATGTAATATAAATTTATATATATATACAATATAAATTTATAGAATATATTTTTTTATTATTTTTTTTTACTCATTTTCACTTATTTTCATTCGAATAAAAATTACTTAATATTAAATGCTATCAATCTAATGACGCAAAAAAATTTCTCAACACACTCAAAATTCAAAACTCGATTACGACCCAACTTTCGTTTGCAGGTGGCCACAGCTCGTTCTTCGGCTTCCTCAACACATTCGTGCACATCTGGATGTACGCCTATTATTTCTTGGCCGCTCTTGGACCAAAAGTGCAACGCTTCCTCTGGTGGAAGAAATACCTGACCACCATGCAAATGATTCAATTCGTCCTTGTGATAATCCACGCGTTCCAGCTTCTCTTCATCGAATGTAATTATCCGAAAGCATTTGTCTGGTGGATCGGCATGCACGCTATCATGTTCTACTTCTTGTTCCGTAATTTCTATACTCAAGCGTATAAGAAGAACCAATCTTCCACCGTGCAGTTAAAGAAGGAACTAGAAACAGAGAAATGGAAAAAAGAGCAGAATGATAGTGTGAAAGAGAACAGGACGATATATGCCAACGAGTATAAAATGGCAACCGGATATATCTCTGACAGTGGACTTAGGAACCGTGTGTTTATCGACAATCGCAATTTCCAAAAGTAAAAAATTTCGAAAATAATTATCTATGCATCGTATTTCGTGAATACACAAATGTGAATTCGTGTCACATAATAATGTGATAGCCAGTCTAACCAATATAAATTTTAAAAAAATAAGTTCTAATAGCGATTCTAAATACTTGGGTTGTAAGAAGTTAAAATTAAAGAACTGCCAAATTTCATCTCTTAAGATTAAAAGATTTAAGACTTAAGATTAGTCAATGAAAAAGCTTGAGGCCGTCACGTTTACTATGGCTATGTGATTGCAGATTATTTGATGACAAAGAGATTAATTGCTCAAACAGTTTCAAATCCTCATGAGTAATCTTGGAATTAAAAATTATAATTATTTGATGACAAAGATCAAATGAAGACAAGAGCTCAAATAATTTCAAATTGTCATGAGTAATTTTGAAATTGCAATTGTTTGATGACAAATAAGATTAGTTGATAAGAATAATTTCAAACCAATTATAACTAATATCTAGACTTAAAGATCTGATTTTTCTCTCATTGTTTGAATTTTAACAATGTTACTAATCGTTTTTTAAAGATTTAGAATTAAGATTTAAGATTTATTATAGACCAATTGTGATCAAATTTATCACAATTTGATACGATGTCAAGGATATCACATGAATATGACGCGTTCCTTCTTTTTTGAATTTTTCGGCTTGTCTATTGATTATTGATTATATGAAATACATTCGTGTGAAATTTTTCACAACGTTTCATGTGTGCTTGCAGATGTATGTCTTTATATAAGCAAGACTGTATCAGTGAATGTATGAGAATTAGAGTAAGATATAAGGAGAAGACGTGGCGGCAATACACCGCCAATACAAATTTAACTATCGTTTAGTTAAGATTACGAGAATTGCCAAAAAAATTTTTCTTTTCTTTTTAAGGCTTTTATTATGAATCTTGTAAATTATGTTGATGAAGTTCAAAAATTGCACGCAACGAAACGAGTCAAAGAAATCAAACTCATTAACTTTTTTTCAATTATTCATTCGAAAAAAATTAACTAAAAATCAGTAACATTGTATATTATATTTTAGATTTTAAATTTAATTTTTTTAACTTAAGAATTTTTAAGAAAATAGAATTGATTAATTTGGTTCCTAAGTAGCTCAAATTATGTTACAAGCAATTTTATGTCAAATATTATGTCAAACAATTTATATTATATATATATAATTTATGTTATACTATATATATATAATATATATTTTATATATATATAATATTCGTATTCTTTTTTTACAATTTTGTAATGGTTATTTTTAAATCCATTGAATATATTATTATATTTTCATATTTTTCACAATTTTCCATATTTTCTATCATTTAGAAAATTCTGAAAAAATTTTAATATACTTTCAAGTATATATTGAAGTATATATTCAAAAGAAAATTATAAAAAATTTATGAAATATCTATGGTGACGAATCCTGACATGGCATGCTATTGAAAAGTTAATTATATATATGATGTAAAATCAATCTCAGAATAAGTAATCAGTAGCAATTATTCTCGAATGCAAGATATTTGTGTATTTTAAACGAATTTTATATATAAATAATATTTCCTTTTTAAGAAAAGATTATCATAGAGAAGAAACCACTAGTCGGATATTAAAAACGCTTAAAAAACTCACTTTCAAATATTAATATTAAATTCGTATTTTATTGTAGCGATAATTATTTTTTTTTTGTCAAGATAGTTTTACACAGTTAATAACACAAGTTAGTTAATTTTTACACAATATCTTTTCTTTGTTGATAATTTTCTGTGATAATTTTTGGTCAATGCGCAGATTTATCTATACAATCGAATTAATATACACTTAGAGACATAAACGGGCGAATGTTTAATTTTTAAATGCGTAGAAAGAAATTAATTTTTCGATCAAAAGAAATATTAATCTAATCTATGATGCGAACTACACATTTGACGCGTAGATATATTATAACTTTATATAATACGAGTTGTAAATGCAAGATCTATTTATTTTATAAAATAAAAATTTTACGATTTTTAATTAATTAATTTCTCCTATCTTCATCTTCTTTTATTATATTCAATCTTATATCTTCTAAGATTGTTTTCCAATGTTTTTTGACTTGCAACATTCTTTGTAACAACTTAGAAATTTCTTTTTTTTTTTTTTTTTGCTATATATTTCTTTCGAAATAGATTCGAAGTGTTCGAAGTCGGATTGGTAAGTTTATGAAAATAACTAATATATCGATTATCTAATACAAAAACAATCGAAAAAAGTGGTATTATAACTAATATAATAAATTTGATTATTTGATATTCGTAATTCCAATAGATTTCATATTAATATATAATGTCAGAAAAATTGTAACAATCTTATAAGAATTATTATGAAAATTATCTTGGTATATATTACAGAAAAATGCGGATCCTTGAAATCTTCGTGTTAAATCGGGAGAGATCGGATATATTCGTGAAAGTATCTAGTGTTGGAAAAATATAGTACTCGTATAAATCGATATAAATGTATCGAGATCCTGAAATTAATCGATCTCATATATATATATATATATATATATATATATATATATAGAGCTTACGAGAAATATTTAATCATATCTACAAGATGTTGCAGAAATCAAATGAAAAAGTTCAAGTAATGAAGTGATTTCAAGTAACATTTTTTAAAATCCAATTTAAGTATTGCATAAAATAAAGTATCGAAAGATCGCTCAAAAGAGCGATATCCATAATTGTAAGACTGCACAATTATTTGTATTATGAATCTTGAATCAATTAATGATGATTGACTCTAATTATTTGCAGCTGTCTATCAACTCTTGAATTTTATCCGACTTCTAACTGTATTTCTATAGAACAATAATATTCACAATAAATTCTAATTAGACTTTTCATCAAGTAAGGTTCGTATCCTTAAAAAATCTCTTTCCAGTTTAATTGGAAAATCACCTCGTGAGGCACGATAATAATTAATAATATTGCATCATGGAGTATACTCTTGGATTCCACTCTAGTCAGGATGAAACATATACTATATTATATTTTTATATTAATATAACTATTATCATAATATTTAATATTAATTAAAAACAATAATTCTGTTAAAATATTTAAAAAAAAACATTAAATACTATTTAAAAGTTTTATTAAAATAGAAAAATAATTCTTATGACAAATCAATGTCTGTTATAATAAATTATTAAATCCTAAAATCTATTTTAGTATTGACAAAATTATTTTGATGTATGTTATATTATGTAAAAATATTATATTAACGTATGAATAACTATAAATAATCATCAATTACTAAAATAAATTATTAAAAATGTTCGTTAAAATATTGAAATTTTATGGAAATTTTAATCTATGTATTGCAAAAGTTCAATAGGAAATGACTTCAAAAGGAAATGACTTCTCGCTTTGATCTACATTAAAGGTCACCACAACCGTCACGAAGTTCAACGGAAATATACAATCGATATCATAAAGTATGATTTTTTTATTAAAACGATCAATAATTTCGAATCATTTTTGTCATATCTTTAATAATTTATGTTAAATATTATAAATTATGTACATATAAAAAATTATTGATTATATAAATTATATAGGATTTAATCTTCCAAATAATGGTAATATCTTTCATATAATTTATAATTTCATATTTACATCGATAATTACAATATTTAATTTTAATTCTTATCACTATTAGCGTTGTAATCTTATTCCGTGCAGAATCAAACATGATATTAAATTCGACATTATATTCGAGATAAAAAATATATTGCATATTTTAGAAATTATGTAATTTATTATCATTATCATCATTTTTGTGATGATAATTTAACATATTATGTTTTTAATTTTTTAGCATATATCTTTGGCGATATTTAACAATCTCAATAGATAATTCAGGTCTCTTACTTATCTAATGAAGGATATTGTACCAAAAACTTCAAAACACGAAAACGAAATGAATTCGAATTTTTTATCTTCTATATTTTTCTTAAAAGTAAACGTAAATTTACAAAGTTCATAATAAAAAAGAAATGTTTAATTTAAACTAATTATTATGGCATTGATATTTATATATATATAACCAATACGATTCGATAATAAAAATAAGACTAAAAAATTAGCCAACAATATTTGATCGGTTTCATTATCACTTGAATATATTATAAATTTAAAAAATGTTCCCATGCATCCCAGTAAAGACAATCTACTTGTTAGTTTCGAAAATAAACGAAGTAACCAATAGTACTAATTTTCATTAGTGAAAGTGACAAGTTGGTGAAAGTCAGTGAGCCATACGACATAAAGGAGACACCGAATAAACTGCATTATAACCTCACAAATGCATGTGCTATACATGCTAATAAATTACGACAGATATATCATACTTTTACCGTCGATTGCGTTCGATTAGAACAAGTATTTGTTCTAATGTAATATATGAGAATTTACTAGAGATATCGAAAAATTAATAAAATATAAAGAATTGGAATGTATACCAATCGGGTTAAACAATGCAAAAATTTTACTAGAATATTCCTATTATTCACTAAGAGGCATTTTTAAATACAATTCGTCTTTGTTATTCTAAAATATTGTAATATATTTTAATATATTCTAATAATTGTTATTTAAATTCAATCGACATTAGATCGATATTGAACTCGCATAATAATTATTATGTTATATGAATTATTATATTATAATTTGAGAACAAATTTGCAAGTAAAAATAATTATTACGTTCGATTTTTTTTTTTTGTATTTACATATTTAAAATTACTAAGAGTATCCATGTAAACGAATGGACAAACGCAATAGTGCAAGAATATGTATGAATTTGATTTTTTAAAAATACCACGAAATGTATATGTTAATAGTTAACGTATACAGCGAAGGCATAATAAAAAAAGTAATAACAAAATTCCATCAAAAATAAACGATGAAGTAAAATAGATTATATTCGGCTTTGTTCGAGTAAACGAAAGTGCCAAGATAGCGAATCAAAAACGTAGTTATGTTTTGCGTCATTTTCCAGATTCTGAATTACGCAACGCGCTAAAATTTTCTCATATGTATATGTACGCAATACTTTTTATTACTTTATTTTAAATATTATTTGAATAATTATCTTAAATAATATGAAAAAATTTATCTAAAAGATAAATTTATTTTATTTATCTTGTTAAATAAATAAAATTAATTAGATATTTCTTATTTGATTAGAAAAATATATAAATTTCTTATATATATTTTATATATATATTTTTATTTAAATTTTTTATTTATTTATTTTATTTATTATTTTATTTATTTATTTATTTTATTTATTTTATTTTATTTATATTTCTTCAATGTAAAACAAAATCTGTGTATATATTGTGCAAATAATGTAATCATTTTTATCATTATCTCAAATAATTAAAGACTTATTATAAACAAATAAAATAAAATTAATTTTTCATAACAAGACTTTTATTATATAATTTATTCGTAAAATTTTCTTTTGTCTTTTTTTTTTTTATTTCAAATAAAAAAATACTCGATCCTGCGCAATATAATACATAATATAAATCATAATATACATAATATACATAATATAATAATAATACAAATGACAATTAATTTTATTAATTTATCATATAAAGTAACTTATAATAAGCTTATAATTTCATAATAAAAATATTGACGTAACGTATCAGTATGCAATTAATTATTTTGCAATTAATATTTCATTCTAATTATATTGTTAATTTTAATGTTAATGAATGACGAAATTTTTCGAGGAAGGCATATCAACGAAATCAAATTCGGTATATTTAAAAGTTACAAACATAAAAATGAAATTTACAAGGAAATCTTGATGGATAAAGATTGATTAAATCACATTATATTCATCATGAATTCGTAAAAGATACAACAAATTCAAAAATATTTATTATCGTGCAAAAAGAAAAAGAAAGAATAAAAACTATAATAAACATGTGCCTGCGTCAACAAATTATTACTATATTTAAAATGCAATAATTTTAATAAAATTTGCAATTCAACGACATTATAAATTAAATACACAATTAAATCCGTTATTAATTTATGCATGTGATTTTTATAAAAAAAAAGAATAATAATTTCATCGTAATATGTAAATTATATATATAAGAAAACTTCAAATATAAGAGATAAAAAAAAAATATTTTA